AATGCAGACCTGGCCTAAGGCACAGACAAACCTTTAACAGGCCTGCAGCGTGACTACCGAGGACCTACCTGCCCAGGTAGGAATTTATGATGAGACCACCCTGTGAGGTGACTTTGTCCCTGGGCTTGTCAGGTTTATTACATAGCCCCTTTTTATTCACATCTCTAATAAAAGAAAGTTTCAAGGCTCAAACGGGAGTTTTTAATAACCACTGTACTGGGGTATGACAAAATGCAGCCTTTTTAAAGTGTCTCAGCTCAAAATGTACACCCCCAGGCAGCCGCAGCACAATCAGGATGTGGGCCATTTCCATCACCCCCACAAAGTGCCCTGGTGCCCACTTACAGATAACCCCACCCCAGACCTTGCCCTAGACAACCACTGGTCAGCCATCACTGTAGATCAGTTTTGACTTTTTAGAATTTCATATACATGGAACTCTACAGTGTGTATTTTCGTGCCTGTATTTAAGTATGTGTTCTTTTGTTCAACATGTCTGAGATCTAATCGTGCTGTAAATATCACTGGCTCATTTATTTTTTTTCTCCTGAGTGCTATTCTTTTGTATGACTATTAACAGTTTCTCCTATTAATATCTGTCCTAGTTTACATTTGTTACCACTGATGAACCAATATTAATATATTAACTAAAGTCCATAATTTACATTGGGGCTCGCTCTTGGTGTTGTACAGTTCTGTGGGTTTTGACAAATGTATGCCGTCCTGTATCCGCTTTTGTGGTATCGCATAGAGCAGCTTCACTGCATTAAAAATCCCTGGTACCCCACTTATCTGCCCCTTCTTTCCTCTCCCCGCACTAAGCCCACGTACCACTGGTCTCTACTGTCACCACAGTTCTGCCTTTGCAGAATGCGTGTAGCTGGAATCATACAGTACGTAGCCTTTCCAGACTGGCTTCTTTCACTTAGCGATGTGCTTTTAAGCTTCTTTATGCCTTTTCGTGGCTAGATGGCTTCTTTCTTTTTATCACTAAATAATATTCCATTGTATGAGTATATCACAGTTTATCCACTCATCTACTAAAAGTCATCTTGGTTGCCTCCACATCTTATAAATAAAGCTATAAATGTGTGCAGATTTTTGTGTGGAAGTAAATTTTTAACTCACTCGGGTAAATATCAAGGAGCACGAGGGTAGTACAGTTGTGTAGCTTGGTAAGAAACTGCCTTGCTGTCTTCCACTTTGATTGTTCCATTTTGTATTCTTACTAGCAATAAATGAAAGTTCCTTTTCCTTCACATGCTCATCAGCACTTGGTACTGTCAGTGTTTTGGGTTTAGCCAGTCTAATAGGTGTGCAGTGGCATCTCGTTTTACATGGTAATTCCGTGATGATGTATGATATGAGCACCTTTTCATTTGCTTACTGGCCATCTGCTGTTTTCTTTGGGGAGGCATGTGTTCAGATCCTTTGTCGATTTTTTAATCGGGTTTTTTAAATCGAGGCGTTTTAAGAGTTCTTTGTATTATTTTGGATAGGCCTTCGTTAGATACGTGTTTTGCAATTATTTTCTCCCAGTCTGTGCCTTGTCTTTTCATTCTCTTAACAGTGTCTTTGGTAGAGAAGTTTTTATCTTAATGAAGTCATATTTATATCCTTCATGGGTCATGCTTTTGGTGTTGTTATCTAAAATCCCATCATCAAACCCACGGCCACCTTGGTTCTCTATTATCTTCTAGAAGTTTTACAGTTTTGCATTTTACATGTAGGTCTATGACCCGTTTATTGAGTTAATTCTTGTGGAAGGTGTGAGGTCTGGGTCTAGACGCGTTTTTGTGCGTGGATGTCCAGCCGTTTCCAGCACTGCTGAAAAGACTGCCTTCCATCGATTGCCTTGGCTCCTTTGTCAAACCCAGCTGACTGTACTTGTGTGAGTCTATTGATTGTGTGGTTCTTTACTGATTTTTTTTTTTTTAATTTTTCAAGATGTTATATCGTCTTGATGACTATAGATTTATAGTAAGTCTTGAAGTCTAGGAGTACCAGTTCTCCATCTTTTGAATTTCAACTTTTTATTGCTGATATTTAGGAAAGCAATTGATTTTTGCCTGTTAACTTTGCATCCTGTAATCTTGCTATAATTGTTTATTAGTTCAGGAGCTTTTTTAAATTAGACAATCATGTCATCTGTGAAGGACAATTTTCCTTCTTTTTTCTTAATCTGTATGGCTTCCCATCGCCCTCTTCCTGTTTTATGGCATTAGCTAGGACTTCTAGTACGAGGTGAATAGGAGTGTGACGTCTTACAATTTTTACTTTATTGTTTTAAAAGAATTGAAGTCAGCTTCAGCAAAAGAACCATCCCTCATTTAGGGAACATACCCAAACACTAACAGAAATTGGAGGGGAGGGGAGTAAGGAAGGAAGAGATGTGTTAATTTTCTCATCGCAGCAGGGTGCCAATTTTAATGTCTTAAATTTAAACATTTTTTAGAATATATATAACTCCAACCTTAATATTTTGCATAACATTTTTAAATCTAAGAGTATTAATTAAGGAATAATACTGAATGTAGTAAAGAAATGTTTACTTTACACTCAGAAATTTAGAAATTCTTTCATTTTCATATCGGTTCATTTTTCTTGTTAAACTAATTGTAAATTCAACATTTTCTACATAATTTTAACAGAATCATATTTTTATTTTATCTATTTTTCTAGCTATTTACCTAGATATCTATCTGCACATATGCATAGAGAGAACTGGAGGTTCATCTACTAATAAAGCATTTTACTACATGAAGTATAGTGGATGATTACTATTTGGGGAGTACTTATCCATATGGTCTGAATTTTAAAAAGCATCAGCATGTATTGTTTTTGCTAAAATGTTATTTCAAAAGTATAATAATAAGTGCTTAAAAAGATGTAGTCAACAACTAAGAAAATTAAGATAGCTATGTCCCAATATGGATGGAACTGGCTCTAAGTCCTGTGTTTACAAATGTTCTGCTGTCTGAAACACTGCCGCATAAACCAGGGAGTCAGGTAGAAATCATTGACAAACTGTCCTGTCTGCCTCTAGCTGAGAGATTAAAATGCCACCTCAAAAGCCTGTACAGCCACTGACTTAGTGATTACGCAGAACCCATTTCATAAACCAGCTAAATTGGTTGACTATGATCTCTACCCCACAATTAGCAACTCTTATTACACATGCCTTTAAACCTTAGGACAATAGCAGCATCGCTCATAAATTATTAACACTGATTTTTAATATTATAAATACGATTGTGTGTATAAAATATCAGATTGTTTATTGAATCAGGATGTCTTTGGTAGATATGCCTTAAATATATTTGATTCATAGATTCCTTTTTCCTCACGATTATATTTTAGAAACTAAGTCAACTGTTGTACGGAACTTCTCACTGCATGTGACAGTGTTATTTAACATTCCTTTCTGTCCCTACATTTCCTGTAAATTGATAATTAGCTCTGGAGTTTTGCTGAGAGACTAAGTTGTATTATTTTTTCTTGTCAAGGCTGCTTCACAGGCAGTAACGTGTTTCTCTTACATCAAAAACACACGTTTGATGTTCTCTCTTTTACATTATCAGGCATTGATGAGCATTGCATGGATCATGAGTTTGCAAACTATGGCCTGTGGGCCAAATCTGGTCCTGTTATTGTAAATAAAGTTTTATTGGAACACAGTCACGGCCCCTCATTTACACATTCTTGACGGCTGCTCCTGCACTACAACAGCTGAGCTACAACAGCAGAGACTTGACAGCCTCCTACCCTGAAATATTTACTATGTGGTCCTTCGCTGTTTTCACCACCCATCACTTTGCCTTATCTAGAACTTCTTACAAATAGAATTATCCAGTATGCACTCTTTTTATATACTTCTTTCACTAGCCATGTTTTTTGATATTCATCAACGCTGCATATATGTATTTTTCTCAATTGTGTAGTATTTCATTGTAGATATATAAATATTTTTATCCATTTTCCTGTTGATGCACTCTTGAATCGCTTTTAGTTCTTGGCTATTACCAATAAACCTGCTATGTATTTGTGTCTTAAGTCTTAGTTCCAAGAGTCACTTTTCAATTCTGAATTGACCTAGAGTGTTTGAATAACCCTTCGTCCCCAGGATTTTGGCGCATGTGTCATCTCCTTAGAATCCTATAGCGCCAGTCTAAGGGAATCTTATCTTTATCACGCCGCTTCCCTTCCCCCCACCCCTTTCTCTTCACAATCCCTTTTTATTTGCTATATAGCATTTATATTAACGGATGTCTTTGTCTGTCCCTCTCCCTGCATTGTTCATTCCCTTACGAAAACATAATAAACTCCAGGAGGGCATGTAATGTTTGCTTTACTCATATCACCTAGTAAAGTGTTACACACAGTAGGTGCTCAACAAATAATTGTCCAAAGAACAATTTATTCTAAAAACATAAAATCACAGGTTGAAAAAGCTCACCAGTTACCACCAAATGCCTGGGTTCATAACATTCTCAGCAATACACATAATAAGCACTTGCCCAAACCAAACCTAAAGTATATCAAATGGTGGCCTTAATTCCGGCGACAGTCCCAAGACAGATACTGAAGGCCAGGCTTTGGGGGTGGGGAGCCTATTTAGAACTAGGTCGGCCGAATACTACAGAGCTTCTGCGCTTCACTGTGACCAATAAAAGTAAAAAGGTACAAAAAGCGTGGGCAGTGGAAGGCACACGAGCCAGTGCGAACCGCTGGAAACAGAGAAAGCATCCCATCAAGCGAACTCCACTTAGACTGACTTAGCTTCTAGCAGAGCGGGCACCGTGAACCCGAATAAGGAGCGGCGGGCGGGGCTAGCGGGGAACCGGGGCCTCAGCTGGGGAAGAACTCGGTGGGCGCCAAACTCCAGCCGCAGGAGACACCCGAGGCCCAACGCGCCGCCCGTCGCCCACCCCCCCAGCGGACCTCTCCCCGGAAGCGCATCCGGCACGCACGGCGAGCTGCGTCTGCGCGCTGAGGGCTCCGCGCGGCGGACCAATGAACGGAGGGGTGGGCGGGCTTTAGGTTAGCGACCCGGTTTCCGGTTCCGGTGGGCGTCGCTCTGTGCGCTCTTCTGCTACGTGTCCCTGGCGACCGAGGTGTCGGCCGGCAGGTAGGGCCTCGTCCCCGGGTGGGCGCGGAGCGAAACCTTTGTGACTCGCGGAGGCGGCTCTCGTGGGCAGGCGGGCGGTGAGAGGGACCCCTCGCCCAGGGGGTCCGAGGCCAGGTGCGGCCCCTCCTGCCGCCGGCATACTCACGAGTGCGGGCGGAGACCCAGGGCCGCGGCCCCGTGGGAGAGGGGCTTCGAAGTCTCGTAGGAAAAGTCCTGGCCCAGGTTCCGGCTTTCTGGCTCCGCACTTGCGGCCACCTGTGTGAGGTCCCGGGGGCTCCCGCTGCCTTCTGCGCTGCAGTCGGGTGACGGCCTGCCGCCGGGGGCTCCTTCGGGGTCGGCTTCGGGTTGTGCGTGTGTAGAGTACCCTTGGAAAGAGCTGTACCCGACCCCGGGCCTGCCACCACGCCTGCGATAAGAAGTGGGGCCACCGACCCACATTCTAGAGCAGGACATCGTAGTGGGTTATTGAGTCTCCTCCCCTGACTTGGAGTGCAGCGTGTTGTGTCTCGTGAATGAAAGTGTGCATAGCTTTCATTGCGATATCTGTATGAAGTTTAAACTGAAGTGAAATGCCCAGAAAACTGGCATTAATGTTTTTGGAGGGACCCGGCACACTTGGCCCAGATGTATATAGAATTCCTAGTACACTTCGTTTCGCGTACGTTCCTCCAGCCGCCTACCCTGGGTGAGAAAACTGGGGCTTAGAGAGGTTTCATTTCGTAGATAGGGATTTGAACCACCACCTGCTCTGAAAATGGCATTCATGCACTGATTCAACAAAAACATATGTAGCGAGTATTTATGTGCCTCGCCACTGTTCTGAGTACTGGAAATCAAGTAAAATACAAGTAATATACTGGCCTTAACTCTTGTGCCAGTGGCTCTCAAAGCTAAGATTAGGTGGCGTTTCTATTGGATAATAGATTTCTCAAAAGAACCTGTATGATAAACTTTACAGCCCTGCTTCCTAAAGGTTTGAAGTGGAAGTTCACCTAATAGTTTCTCCTAATCTGCATCTTGGTTTAGTTGATCCTTGTGGTTTTGAAAAAAATGATAGGTCTATCGTACGCAAATACACTCTTTTCTAAAAATGTGTGACTGGTTTGGGAGGGTCGGATTGAAGTCCCGGTGTGCCTCTACTCTGGGCTCTGGTAGTGATGCCACCTTTAAGAGTATGCATCCTTTGTCAGTGATGGTAATGGGTCAAACCTGTGCTGCTGCCTTTTGCTCCGATGCTTTGCTGGAGTCTACAAAAATAATGTCAGCGAAGGCTTGGAGGCTGTCTTTTTTGTTTTCCTTTGTGAGATGGGATTGCCCCACATTAGGCATGGATTCCTGGCTGGCCTCATTCATATTGTGGTATGACTGAACAAGCCCTTGCAGTGTGATAAGTAATTCCAGTGAGTATCTTTTCTTCTTTGTCGTTTTTTTTTTAAACAAGCATCATGGATCAGGTAATGCAGTTCGTTGAGCCAAGTCGGCAGTTTGTGAAGGACTCGATTCGGCTGGTTAAAAGATGCACCAAACCCGATAGAAAAGGTAATAGTTTTAGAATGAGAGAAAAAGTTAACTCTTTGCATTTTCTAAGCCTTTTATTTGATTAACATCTTCCTATGTAATAACCGTTGCATGACTTTCATCCACATTTTTATTGTTTTATTTTGCTTTACTGCTTTTTAACGTCACTTCTTCCTAAATTTTGTATACTTTACATACGTTTTTCTGTTTTATGTATTTTCAAATGGTATAAGATTATTACAGTCTTATTTTCGGCTTTAGTCATATTTAATGACCAGAGTTTTTAGTATCTTCCATATTTTCACTCTGGAAAATCTTCCGGGAGCCCTCCGTGCTCTGCCACTTCCCCCTGCTCCCCCAGCAAAACCTTAACATGAAATCAGCGATACAGTTGTTGCCAATTTGGAAAGTTTAATTTCTTATTTATCATGATTCATGTGTTAAAAGGTGCACCAGAATGTGTCTACTTTTATTTATTTATCGACTGCTGCCTGCATCAGGAGCTGGGACTATAACAAAGAATATAACACATTATATATATATGTAGTATGATACATAGAAATACAGAGAATAGTCCTTGCTCTTATGGAGCTTAGACTCTTTCAGGGAAGGCGGTCGTACACAGATCATGGCAGTTATATTTTTTAGTTACTGTTGTGGTATCACGAACAGAAGTAGAAGATTTGATGGCACATAGTAGGAGGGCTCAGCAGGCCCGGAGAGCTAATAACGTTGAATGGAAACATTACCAGGGCCTGAAACCTTCGCATGAAGCTGTGCCCACCCCAGTTTGATTTTTCAAGTCTTATTTTTGGCTTCATTATAATATCAAAGAGAATGGACCTATTTTTAATAAAAAGTTATGTTCTCCGCTTTTATAATCAATATTTTTAGCAATGTTAAAATTTTTTAAGACATACTGTGTATTTCTTTTCTCTATGTTTCTTTTTGGCATTCTGGCTATTTGCTAAGAAGGTAAAATATTTCACTGCTTATCGGCGGATTCACTAGGATGGGCATGCACTTTATTTCTATGTTTCCTTAGATAATAAAATATGGAAATTTAAAAATCCACCAGTTTATTATTAATAAATAGCATCATATTTTGTTTTACTCAAAATTATGTATTTACTATCAGGAGAATTGTACACCAGTAAGTTTATGTCACCGTTAGTTTTTCCTCCTGTACTTACAGTGACACTGCAAAAATAATGTAAATTTTGTGTTTTGAATCCAGAATTCCAGAAGATTGCCATGGCAACAGCAATAGGATTTGCTATAATGGGATTTATTGGCTTTTTTGTGAAATTGATCCATATCCCTATTAATAACATCATCGTGTAAGTAACCTTTTGAAATAGACAGTGTCTAGAATGGAGTGAAAATTGAAACCATTTGACTTGCCAGCTTGCTGTTTCATTCGTGCACACGTCTCTTGACTTGTGAATACTGCTAGAATCTGCCGATATTTGTTGAGTGCCTGATCATTTGAAGCGACTTTTGTTTTCATTATGCTTAAACCGTTTTTGAGCGCTTCTGGTATGCCGTGTAGTGGTCAGGAGTCACTGTGCTAGTCGTCATTCTTTATTTTCAACCCGTATATTGTCCATCACATTCAAAAACTTCTCAGCTTACTATCCTGTCATGTAATTCGTGTTTTTCTATCTTGTTCAGAAAGACTTTACATTGAGCACATTTCCTAAATCAGAGTTCCGCATTTTTATGATAAGTTGTTCTGGCAGTCACATCATCTCCAAGGTCCTGTAACAAGATTTTAAAGTTCAGTTTCTTTTATGCTGTCTTGGGGTAACGTAGGTGTGGTTCTCACATAACTGGTTTTGGTTCCATAAAATCACAGCATACTGCATTTCAAAGCACTATTATTGTTAAAATCTTGTATACACTCAATATTGACCATTTTTCTTTCTTTTACAGTGGTGGCTGAATACCTTGTTTTTCGTCTTGGGATTTGGTGAACAAGTGAGGGTTTGAGAAGCTCATGGAGTAAAAGTTTGCCTACATATTTTGTTTTTCTCTCATTTTTTTCTTCCAAGATGTTTTCTATTTCTAAATTAAAATAATTGTAAAATAAACGTCTCTTTTTTTCCATCACAGATCTCTGTAAAATTTTAATGATAGGAAATACTGGTCTCCTTCCGCCCCCCCCTCCCTTCTTTGCTTCCTTCCATCCCTCAGATTTCAGTTTATATGAGAAATTAAAGGGCCTAGTGACATTCTGCACTTTCTGCGCACTCTGCTGTCCTGGAAGAAGGGGGTGAAGCTCTTGAAAGGCAGGTTCAAGGGTGGGTCATGTTGTCCTGAAGCACTCAGAATGTAAACTGGAAGTCAGTTTATGCCCACCCCTTAAAGCCTTTTTATTAATCTTTTCATTCAGTATTTAGTTATTGAACTTTATTTCCCAAGTTCTGATCGTGTTTTAGAAGTTGGTTTGCAGCACACAGTTGGTGAATGTCCTCTGATTCTTAGTGAGCTGGTAAGGGGTCTAACTGGTGTGTCTGGGGTGCGTTCCTCAGTTTTGGGACCCATGATTGGAGAGCGAAGTCTGTTTTCATAGTGAGAGCAACATTCTCTGCCTATTTTCGAAATGCCGATGGTGTTTGTCTTGAATTGGTGTCTTCAAAGAAATAAAAATAAAGCCATGGCCGTCTCTAACCTGAAGGATACCATGAGCTGGGCGGGGGTCTAACTGGTGTGTCTGGGGTGCGTTCCTCAGTTTTGGGACCCATGATTGGAGAGCGAAGTCTGTTTTCATAGTGAGAGCAACATTCTCTGCCTATTTTCGAAATGCCGATGGTGTTTGTCTTGAATTGGTGTCTTCAAAGAAATAAAAATAAAGCCATGGCCGTCTCTAACCTGAAGGATACCACGTAGCCACATTTTACAGATATTCAGCTTCTTAAAGGCCAGAATAGAATGTGTGTGTGTGTGTGTACACACATGTGCATGTGCATTCGCGTATTTGTACATATGTCTATACAGATATGCATATATATGTACACATGCATATACAACTATACAAGTGTATATTAAGTACTTATGGTAGAAATTAGTCAAATGTACACTTGTTTTGCTTCTGGCAAATGTGTATATTTTTGTGTAGGATATAATTATGAACTCCTATTTATAGCATACATTTGGGCTGCTTATTCTGTATTTTGCTGACTTACTGGTTCTTGACTCAAGAGCAGGTAAGCTGTCACAAACATTTTGTATTTATACATGTAAAATGAAGGCTGACCAAGAAATGCGAGAGAGCAGAATAACCTTCACGCTCAGTGGTTGATTTCTTACATAGGAAAAATTAAATAGATTTTTTTATTACTCATATTCCTAGTATATCTAAGAGTGCATTTGTGTTATAAAACAGTACTTCTTAAACTTTATAAAAATCTTCTGAGGGAGTTTCTTTAAAACTTGGGTCCTATCCCCAGAGGTTCTGATTCAGTAGTTCTGGGTGGGCCTGGTTATTTCCTTGCTTTGTCCTAAGACGTCTGGTTGAACCGTCTTAGGGATCGTCCGGAGGCCTGATCTCAATGATGGGGAGGAGCGGGGGTTGTCAGAACCTGGGCAGTCTGTCTGCCTGTCTTCCCCCAGGAACAGAAGTTGTTTTCAAGTAAAATAGCTTGACCCAGACAGAAGTAGATTTTCCTTTAATTGTATTCCCTGGCTAACTGTTTCAGAATAAATTTACCGATTTCCCATTGCTTTCCAAAAGGCTCTTTCGGACCATAGTAAATGGAATTTAGACAACGTTTGGTTAAGGTCTGAGCTGTTAGACTCCCATTTTCAGGACAGTCGTCGCCTGTGGATGTCCTCGGAGCCTTCCTCCTCAGACTGGAGTTGGTGGAGGGGTGTTATACGCCGGTCGTGTGAAAACGTTTGCCTTCGAGAGGGTCGGAGTCACCGCATTCTTGACTGCACGCAGCTGTCCCTCTGCAAGAGAGAATCCGAGCTTTTAGGTTCAGATAGTCTGATTTTTATGTGCCTGGGACCTAGAGTGCAGAACTAGACTCAAGTTAAAGAAATGGGTCCCAGGTTTTTTAGACATCAATGGATTTTATAAAATTAGCTTTATTTAAAAGATGTTTTTAGAAGAATTTTCTAGAAATTCTAATATTAGTGATTTATATCGGTAGTCTAAAACGAGCTGAAATAGCCTTTTCGAGCTCAGAAGAATTAGTTTTTTTACAGGTGTTCTAAATGACGTGACAAGCCCTCGGATCTGACAACGTGGACCGGATTCTGCTGCTTTATCCTGCACCTGTTCAGAAGCTCTCCCTTCCCAGTCGTTTCGTGATGCAGTGATTCATTCATCCACTTTGCAATTCATTCGCAACCCACCTGCTCCAAAGTTTTGTCCTTGAGTTTCAATGAGCTTTGTCACTCCAGGTGTCCCATAGCTCTTCAACTATTTACCCACCTAGTAAGCATGGATTAAAAGCTAAAAATATGACCTCAGTTTTGTGAATAGTGGTACTGCCAAAAAAAAAATCTAACACAATTACACACGTGTGCCTACAGTTATTTTATGCCCACAATCTGTAAGTAACAAAAACGGTTATGCAAATTTCTGGACATACACAAAGCACACGAATCTCTTGAATTATTTAAACATTATTATTAAGGTAATGATTTTATTTGACTTACCAAGGTGCCAAGATGAAAAAGTAAATTATAAATGTCCCATTTACCTTAGAAAATGAGAATTTACTTGGCTGACCAAACTTCTTGGTTTTCCTGGAACCGAGGATTTTGCCAGGACCTTGGATTTTCAATGCTAAACTCAGGGTGGTTAGTTTCCCATTTCCCCACTGCTGCCTTTGCCTTCTGCCTGCCAGGCATCGTGTTGAGGGAGGGAGGTCTCAGTCAGTGCCGATCAGGGCAGGAACGACATCCGGGTCCT